GGCTAAAAGTGAAGAATCGCTTAAGTGATCTTGATTCTGCCTTGGACTTGATCGCTTAAGCGACCAAGTGTAAAAGTGAATAATCGCTTAAACAAGACCTTAAATCGCTTAAGTGATTGTGCACCTGGGGTGACTTGATTCTACCTTGGACTTGATCGCTTAAGCGATCATGCATCACTTAAGCTACCCAGGGTAAAAGTGGAAAGTCACTTAAGTGATCTTAATTTTGGCTTGTACGTGATCGCTTAATCAACTGCGGCTGAATATACTGAATCGCTTAAGTGATACCTGAAATCGCTTAAGCGATCCAATATATTCGGATGATCTTTATATTGCCTTTGACAAGATCGCTTAAGCAATAACATACATCACTTAAGCAACCAAGGCTAAATATACAGGATCGCTTAAGCGAAACCATACATCGCTTAAGCGATCAAGGCTAATTTACTTTGGTACTTTAAAAACATTAAAATTTGCATTATATAGAATCATTCTGTACTTTAATATTTCTTTTTCATGTTTATCTACACATATAAAAAACTTAGTTTAATTAAAATATAATTAAAAAAAATCGATTAAGTGATATAAATAATCAAATAAGTTGACACAAGACAGATAATAGTCCATTGAATTAATCGTACTGTCAAAATTCAAGCTTATTTCAATCTATTCCCCCCACATCGTACAAGATATGACTACATTTTGGTCAATAAAAAGAGCACAATAATCATTCTCAAATACAACATCCATATTTGTGAAATGAGGTATATTTCTACTAACGTGTCACACTAGTGCACTATTACATTCATCCCTATATCATACGGTTGTAAACTTAATATGTGTTAATGGAATTAGGTTGCAAATAATCTTTCTTAATTGGCCTTAATATGTGTTAATAACTGATATTGCTTAACATTAATGTTAACAATCATGTGATGTTGTGAATGTCCAAAATTCACATTAACGTCACTTAATTGGGGTTGACAACCTATTCCGAAAAAAAAAAAAAAAAAAAGAGGAATAGCTTAAGCGATCCAGTGTTTATAAGCCTTCGCCACTTAAGCGATCCTTGAAAGGCATAATAAAGATCATCCGAATATACTGGATCGCTTAAGCGATTTCAGGTCAAGATCATCCGAATATACTGGATCGCTTAAGCGATTTCAGGTCTCGCTTAAGCGATCCAGTATATTTAGCCTTAGTTGCTTAAGCGATGCATAGTCGCTTGCCAGAATTAAAATCACTTAAGCGATTCTTCACTTTTACCTTTGGTTGCTTAAGTGATCAAGTCCAAGGCAGAATGAATTCACCCCAAGTGCACGATCTCTTGCACGATTTCTTAAGCAATTTAGGTCTCGCTTAAGCGATTCTTCACTTATACACTTGGTCGCTCAAGCGATTTATGATTGCTTAAGCAATTTATGATCGCTAAAGCAATCAAGTTCAAGACAGAATCAATATCATCTCAGATGTACGATCGCTTAAGCGATTATTCACTTTTAGTCTTGGTCGCTTAAGCGATTTACGATCCTTTAAGCGATCAAGTCCAAGGCAGAATCAAGATCATCCCAGATGTATGATCGCTTAAGCGATTTATGTATCGCTTAAGCGATTCTTCATGTTTAGCNCTGAAACTGTCATACCTGGCGGACCACTCAACGCCCAAACAGAGCCAATAAAATCTGTCATACCCGACGGAATCCTGCATCGCTCGGGCAGAGCCAAAAATCTGTATCTCTAGGGAACGGGTACTTTGTAGAGTGGTTTGAAAACCACTTTTATTCTTATATATAGTCTAAAATGCTTTTCTTCATGAAAAATGCATAGTTTGCTTGGAAAATATAATATTTATGCCCAAGGTGGGAAAAATATAGATTTATGAACATGCCTCAAAACTGACAAATCAACCCTTTTTCGTTTCTCATATAGTATATTTATCAAAATCACTAAACTCTCATTTAATCATGCATCTCATGTTAATCTCAAGTAACATATATAAGTCAAGAGCATACCACATATGTGCTTATAAATCACGCACATATGACATAATATTCAAAAATCACATATAGGGGTGAAACTGAAAATTTCCAAACATGTTTTAAAACTGAACGTTTAACCCAGATTAAAAATTACTTTTAACATCACATTACCATAGCATATGTCCGACACTAATCATAAGATATATACCACATTTCATATAAAAGCAAATCATGCCAAAACGTATGAAATTCCATGCAAAATGGGGGTAGAATGCAAGTTTTAAAACATACTTTCAAAACTGACGAATGCACCCCTTCTCTTTTTCTTTTTACCAAGAAACCATCTACCAANTTATGTATCGCTTAAGCGATTCTTCATGTTTAGCCTTGGTCACTTAAGTGATTTAGGATCGCTTAAGCGATCAAGTCCAAGGCAGAATCAAGATCATCTTAGATGCACGATCGCTTAAACGATTCCTCACTTTTAGCCTTGGTTGCTTAAGCAATTCCTCACTTTTAGCCTTGGTTGCTTAAGCAATTCCTCACTTTTAGCCTTGGTTGCTTAAGCAATTTAGGATCGCTTAAGTAATCAAGTCCAAGAAAGAATCAAAATCATCCCAGATGCATGATCGCTTAAGCAAGTTAGGATCTCGCTTAAGCGATCCTGTTTAGAAAACCCTTAATCGCTTAAGCAATATATATAGTCGCTTAAGCAGTCGCTTAAGCGATCATGGGCAACACTTATTTTTTTCTAGCTTTTCTCCTGAATTTTGACAAACTAAAATCACCAACACATATTAATTTCATCTTTTCTCTTGAATTTGGCAACCTAATTGCATCAACACATTAATGCCATTTAATAAAAATACTAAACAAACTCAAACTCAAAAGAGGGAAAGAAATACTCAATTGCTTTTATACAAATGTAAAACGTGTCAATTATATTAAATTACAAAATTATATACAACAAATAAATGTCCTATATACACCCAAAATAAAAGCAATGCCGGCAGTTTTTATCCTTCCTCTTCATCATTCTCTTCGGCCACTTTCCCATCTTCCACAATTATCCAACACACCTTCAACATTAGCAACAACAACAACAGCTTCTTCGTCTTTTTCTACAGCACCCCTTCCAACATTATCCAGCCTTGGCCTTGGCCACAAAGCATACATAACACCACAACCCAAGTATCAATAGCCTGACGCCTAACAATGCCAACTGATCCAATTCAAGACAACCCAATAAGAAATGCATTTCACATAAACTACCAAACTCTAAGTCCAACTTCCATACTTGATCCTATCTACAGACCTTACAGAAGGTTGCTTGTTTTCTTGCATCTGATCGATTCGAACCTAATTTTTAGGATTTACATGTGATCAATTATGGCAATTGCTTCTCCTGTGGCTAAGTTGCTTGCAAATAGAGCACTTATTTATCCTTCGGAGAACCTTATAAGCTGATGGAATATGCTTAAATATTTTTCTCCCCTTTTCTGTCTTCTTGAATGGCATATGGATGATAATGTCAACCAACTTTAGCAGCACCACGCACTGTACTTCTGGAGGAACTGGATATATCGTTTTTGAATAAGCCAGCATGTAGAGGTTTGCCATATAGAGAGGGGAGCAAAGTTTCATGTAAATTCTTGAACTAAAATCCAGCTTCCATTGGTTTTGCAGTGTTGTTAGTGCATGAGGACAAGATAAACGTTGAATGTCAAACACTTTATAGCTGCAAGTTTTACTAAGAAGGTTATCTAGGGCATCCAAACCATAGCTGACACGACCCGCCTCGACCCTCCCTACCCCATAAGCTCCGGGCNCAATAAAGAGAAATGGCAGACAACTTTTGATAAAGTAGAAATAAATAATGGAGAGAGACTAAGAAAAAGAAACCAGTTAATAATTGTAATGAAATTTCCACCAAATTTCTAGTACTTTCTCTGCTATTTACCTTGCAATTTTCTTTCAAGAGTTGAGTAAAGAAGAGATAAAAATATGAGAAATCATTCATACCCAGAAAGTTTTACGGTTTTCCATCGCTTCAATATCCTCATCGATCTTCATTGATCTTTACATACTTTCTCTCGAGCAATTCAGATCTGCCTCCATTTGTTATTTAGGTAATATACTATGACTTTTTATATCTATTATTTTACTCAGATTTTATTTTAATTTTTGTATAATTTTATGAAAGTAGTGATGCGTTTATGTTTCAAACAAGCTGAATACATAGTAAAAATTAGCATCAAATTTTGTTAAAGATTCTTGATGTTAGATCTGAACTTCTAAGGCTAATTAAAAGGTAAGTGCCTCTATTGATCCTGGATTTGTTTTAATTTTAAAGTTAATTTTTTTTCTTCTCTCCTATAAAGTACTTGTTCAGGTGTCTTAAATGCAACTTACTGTATATCATACTCTTTTCAAATATTACTAGTATATATATTTATCAGTATTATTCTAGAAATATAAATTTAATTTTACTTTGACGAATAATTTTATAATTCATATCTGGCTTCACATACTCTCTCTGGAGCAATTACATCTCACTGCAAAACATTAAGATCTGGATCCAGTTGTTAGTTCGGTAACATATATACTTGGATTTTTATGTATTCTATTTTTCTTTGATATTATCTTAATTTTATAATTGTATGAAAAATTAGCATCTATGTTTCAAACAAGCTTAACATGTAGCCAAATTTGTTTGAAGATTTATTGATATTTATAGTGTCTCAAAATTGTTTCCAGTGGCTGGAGTGTCAGATCTGAACTAATTAATGCCTCTATCATAATTGTTATTGTTATTAATTGTTTACATATAATTTTAATTATTTTTTTAGAATTACTAGGAATATTAATGAATTATTTAATAATTATATATTGAATCATAATTTTTTATTTCTCAATTACTTCAATTTATTTTCTAATGAGGTGTTTTTCGATTGATGAAGAATGTCATTAATATTTTGTCTACTTAAACAGAACTAAAAAGCATTTCACCAATTGATGTCGATGGCTGGTTCTTCATCTTTCACCAACAATCATTTAGAGAAGCATGACGTTTTTCTTAGTTTCAGAGGCGAGGAAACCCGCAATGGTTTCACGAGCCATCTCTATGCAGCTTTGTGCCGTAAACAGATTAATACTTTCATTGATGACCAAATTGTGAGAGGAGATGACATTTCATCATTTCTTTTGAATACCATCAAAGCATCAAAGATTTCAGTCATCATCTTCTCAAAAAATTATGCATCTTCTAAATGGTGCCTCCAAGAACTCGAACAAATCCTTCACTGCAAGAAAATAGAGGAGCAGATTGTTATACCAGTTTTCTATCATGTAGATCCATCAGATGTAAGGAATCAAATTGGGAAGTTCGGAGATGGATTCGCTAAGCTTGAAAAAGGTACTAAGGAGAAGTTAGAGATGCTGCAAAGATGGAAGATTGCTTTGAATGAAGCAGCTAGTCTAGCTGGTTGGACTATAAATGGTCAAAAGTAAGTTTTAATTCCATAATAGTTCGCTTTTTGTAATTCTGTTATGTCTTAAACATTTCCTAACACTTGAATTGAATGAAACATAAATCAACATAATTAATTTGTAATTAACTAAAGTTTGTTTTGTTGTTTATTTTTAGGTCTGAATCTAAACTTGTAGATGAGATTTCATGGGCTATATTGAAAAGACTAAATAAATTGTCTCCAAGTGATTATAAAGGTCTGGTTGGAGTAAAATTTTCAATAAACAAAATAGAGTCTCTGTTGCACAAGGGATCAAATGGTGTTTCCAAAATAGGAATTTGGGGCATAGGTGGTGTTGGCAAGACAACTATTACTCGTGTTGTATTCAATAAAATCTTGCATGATTTTGAAGGATCCTATTTTGCTGAAAATATTAGGGAAGAGTCGGAGAAAAATAGTGGATTAACTGACTTGCGAGAAAAACTTATTTCCATAATATTAGAGGATAAAGATCCCAATATAGGGCTCACCTTCCCAAGAAAAAGACTTGAAGATAAGAAGGTTCTCATCGTTTTTGATGATGTGACATCTTTACAACAAATAGAAAATTTGATTGGAAATCTTAATTGGTTGAGCTCGGAAAGTCAAATTATCATAACAACAAGGGACAAACAAGTGTTGAGAAATTGTGGAGTAGATGATGCTTATATATACAAGGTTAAGGGATTAAGAGAGAAGGAAGCTCATATACTTTTTAATCAGTATGCCTTTAAACAAGACTGTCCTATTGAGGATTACATGGAGCTATCGAACAAAGCAATTTCATATACCAAATGTCTTCCTCTGGCTCTTAAAGTGTTGGGTTCCTATTTGTTTTCCCATAACAAAGAATTTTGGGAAAGTGCAATAAATAAACTAGAAAAAGGTCCTCCTTTGGATATTCATAAGGTATTAAGAGTTAGTTATGATGGACTTGATAAAGAGGAGAAGGATTTATTATTAGATATTGCATGTTTTTTCAAAGGGGAAGATATAGATCCAGTGATAGAAGCCCTAAATGCTTGTGACATCTCTGCAAAACAAGGAATACAAGTTCTTATTGATAAGTGTCTCGTGCTTGTTACATACAACAATAAAATAACAATGCATGATTTGCTTCAAGAAGTGGGAAAGAAAATTGCTCGAGATGATGCTTGCAAAGACATTCGATTATGGTATCACATGGATATCTTGAAAGTATTTAAAAATTATAAGGTAAGGGTTAGCTATATGTATTTATAAATAGATAGATATCTTCGAGAGTAAGCTTACATTTTTATTCAAATTTTAAATTAATGTTTGGTTTAAGGATATCTAATAAGAGATCATGGTATCTTTTTTATTATTATTATTTTTCTAATAAGGTCTTCCTCGTACCAGAGGCTCGCCAAAAAAGAAAAATGTTTTATACTATTAGATTATATTTTTATTTTCCTTAAAACTCACTCAAGCTTCTATATTTACATATTTTCTTTTTGCAAATTGTTTAGTGCTATTCAATTAATTATTTCCTTTCATGTATTGTCTCAGTCTCCTAGTTTAGATTTTATATAAAAATAATATGCCTTTGATTTAAAGAAAACATAAATACATCAAGAAGAAATATATCATATATACGATCTATCTTTGTATACGTAGTCTTACTTTTCAAGCACTTTTATTGCTATTGTTATCCTATTTATTTTTCCCTGCTACTAAAATCTGTAATCTTTATTTGTTTAAGTCAGCTCAATGTTTCTATTCACTAGAGTATTTATTGGTGATTGATTCATAATTTATTTTTAATAAATTTTCTCTTAATTTACATATTAAGCTTAAATTAATTTGATTAGGCTAACATTGCTGGTTAATAAACATTAGCTAATTAAATAGTTTGATTTAATGGGAGTATCTTGTATGCCAACTAATCATCTCTTTTGATTGTTAGGGATCTGAAGCAATACGAAGCATAAACTTGGACATATCTAAAATAAGCAACACAGGCTTAATTTTTCATGTTTTGTCAAAGATGGATAACTTAAGATTCTTCAGAGTATACAACTCAGAACACCGATTTAATTATCCATTTTTAAGTTTATACGACGGATTTAACTTCCCAGGCGAAGATGATTATGGTTTTGAAGAACCTGAATCCTTTCCCAATGACATAACATTATTCTGTTGGAATAATTACCCATTTAAATCATTGCCATTATTTTTTCCTTCAGTGAGTCTTGTTAAACTTGAGATGCGTCACAACAAAGTTAAACATTGGAATGGTTTTCAGGTATGAATTTTTGTATTTATACGGTTGTCTTTCTGTTAAAAATTATAAAAATACAAGGCACTAATTTCAATTTTTTCTTACAGAATGTCGTAAATTTGAAATATGTTGATCTTTGTTTCTCCCAACACATGAAAGAGATTCCAAATCTCTCAAGAGCCTCAAATATGCAAGAATTGATTCTAATAGGTTGTACGAGTTTGTTGGAGATTGCTCCCTCATCTATTCAAAATCTCAATAAGCTTGTCAACTTGGATGTAGGCTTTTGCACAAGGCTTATTAGTCTACCAGATTACATTCAATCAAAATCTATTACTCTCAGTGGTTGCTTTAATCTCAAGATAGCTCCAAAGATCTCATGTAAGGTGGAAAAATTAAAATTAACTGTAACTGCAATAGACGAATTACCCTTCATCGAACATCCATTTATACTAGTTGAGTTGACTCTTCAAAATTGTCCATTGCTTGACAGTCTCTCAAGTAGCATTTTTAGGTTGAAATCTCTCAAAAAGCTTAATCTTCAAAGTTGCTCCAAATTGTTAAGTTCATCCAATGGCATTGTAGATTTAGAAGCTTTGGAGAATCTCTTTCTAGCTGCTACAATCATGAAAGAAGTACCATCATCCATCTTGGACTTGCGAAAAATTACAAAATTATTCCTATGTCAACCTTCTTGTAAACTAGAACCCTTTGATTGGGTATTTGATTTTTCATTAGATTTAAGCTCTCTAGTAACAGTTTATTTGGAAAACTGTCAAATCACCGAATTACCTGACAATCTTGGACAATTTTCCTCTTTGGAAATGTTACATCTATGTGGAAATAATTTTGAGAGCCTACTAGAAAGCATCAAAGGGCTTTCTAACTTGTACTTCCTAGACATAAGTAATTGTCGGAGACTTCGACTTTTGCCAGAGCTTTCGTTCGGTGTAAGTGTGAATGCATCTTGTTGAAGTGGAAGCTTGAAAACGATGTCGTTTTGAGTAAGCAGAACGACATTGTTTCATACATGCTATCAGATGAATCCTGACCGTAGATTAATCTTCAGATTCAACGGCCAAAATCCAGCCACTAGGTTAACCATATATAAACTCAACTTTTCGTTCAAAAGAGAGAATCACTGTTGGCTTCTTTACGTGATTGAGAAGTTAGGGTTTGTAAAAGTTTTTACTCTTGCTTTGTGTAATCAATTAGGTTAGAGTGATTAGGGGTTTAATCATTCTGGTGAGGGTGCTGTTCTTTCAGATTAGAGTTACCAGGTGAGTTTCTCTAAGGGCTGATATGGGATATTTTGTATCAGGGTGAGTGATTCTGTGTTAGCTTGTTTTGAGGTGTTGTAATCGTGATTCTTGAGATAATAGTAAGTGCAACGAGCTCATCTCTTTCTTCAGCTCAACGTGGATGTAGCTTATCCTATAAGGATAAGTGAACCATGGTAAATCTTCGTGTTCTTGCTGTTCTTGATTGATTATGTGTGTGATTGGTATGTTATAGAATCTTGTTAAGTTGCATAACACATCTGACTGCTCATCCTTGCAATCAATATCAGATCCATCATTTGTATTGTTACCTGATTGGAGATCACGGGGAACAACTTTTGCCAATTGTTTTAAATTGGATTTATCTAAAATTCTTCATGAGGTATCTCTTTTTACCCTTTCTCCATTTTTATGATGTTAGTTGTTTTTTTTAAAGTAATAGAAAAGAAAAAAAAAATCTAAAGCTGAAAGCCTAAAACTATGTCATGATGTGATGATTTTCATTTTCATCGGTACAGGAATCTTGTCTAGAATTTTGTTCTGATTAGAAATGAAATTCTAGAGTGGTTTACCTTTCAAAATACTGGATCTTATATAACTCTTGATCAGCCACTAGATTGGCATAATAAAAATTTTCTAGGTTATTTTACATCTGCTGTTGTTTGTCCAGAAGCAATAGTGTTCAGTATTGATCCAAAAGAAGAAGAAGAGTTCAATATTCTTCGAGATTACAGTGTTACTTGTTACTCCTTAAGTGAAGATGGTAAGAAGCAAATTTATAAAAGTTGCTTTGGACCTTGGAAAGATGATTATTTTGTCTCCAGTCAGTTTTATTCAGATCATGTATTATTCAATTTTTATTCTATAACGGATAACGCGTTTCAAAAGTGCGATAGGGAATATCATGAAATTTCTTGTGAGATGGAGTCATTAGATTGTAAAGTGCTCATCAAATTTCATTCTAAAGATACAAAGGTGAAAAAGAGTGGGATCAATTTCTTGTATGTTGAAGATTATGGAGAACCATTGGAAACATCCAGAAGTAGTGTTGACAATGCTAAAAAGAAAGGGAAAGAGAAAGAGAAAGATGAACTACAATGCAGTAAATTGCAAATTTCAAAGTCCTTTGATGGTATATCTGGCTTAAGGTAAATAATAAAGATTTTTTTTCAGCTCAATAATGTTTTTTGGTTCTTTTAATTTATTTTGTCTAATAAAAAGTAATTATATATCTCAAGTAGTACTAAAATTTTTCATCTCATGTGGTACATAATTTTATGTGACATTCTAAAGTCACTTAACAGATCAACACATCATCTATAAAGTCTTACTAAGAACACAAAATAAAAATCATTTGAGATCAAATTTTATATCAAATTTCATGTCAAATGCTGTTTTTGTTGTTTGCTTGACTTAACCCGTTGTTAACATGCCTCGTTTCATGTCAACAAGTCAACTTGCTCTAGAGTGTGTAGAAGCACGGTATTGGAAATTGAAAAGCAATGCACTCAGAGAAATTGTGAAAAATGCTCTACTGAATTTTCAGCAAAATATAATTTTGTGCTCAGAAGTTGAAGAGGTCTCTCTTATATTATACAAATTCAAATCTTATTTTTATTTTTTGTTGAATAAAAAATTTGATGTTAAATTAACAATGCTAGATTTTCTTATTGCAGATGAACTGTGTGAATCCAAAAGGTTGTATGAGTTTCCCAGAAAGTAAAATTCCAGAGTGGTTTAGCTTTCAAAATGCTAATGATTATGTAGGACTACCACCGGGCTCATTCCTTTATAAATTTGCCGGTTTGGCTTTCGGCACCATTGTAGAATTCCCAGATTTGTTAGATTTGGGCCAACCTTTCTTCGTTAAATGTGAGTTGTTTTTTGAAGAACATGATCATTCGATTGTTGCAATTGGGTCTATACAAGGTTGGTTCGAAGGTGATAGAACTCACTACATCAAATCAGATCATGTATTCTTGGGATATGATTGTGTTATGTATACTCATGAAGGGCCTATGTTAGATATATATTATACTAATGCAAAGGCCATCATCAATTTCTATGTTACTAATCACGATGGAGTACTGATAGAAGGTTGTAAGGTGAAAAAGTGTGGAGTTCGTTTATTGTGCCCTGAAGATTTTGAGAACAAATGGAAGAATCCAATAGATCTTTCATCTTTAAAGAAAAGGCTAAAACTCAATGTAAATGACCGCTGTAATGATGAACCACCATCCTATGGCCTTTTCACCGCACGTGATTGGCAATCTACGAGTTTTGCTGCTTCTCCGGATTTGAATTTAATGGTTGGATCAACAGTGATCGATACAACTGAACCACACTCCAAGAGATTGAAAACATGCAACTGTAAAAATAAGTAAGTTTTCCTTCTACACCTCATTTTAATTAAATGATTAGTTTTTATTTTCCTAATTCATTTTTCTGGAAGCTCTTGTTCACCTAATGGGAATATGATTATGAGATTCTTATAGAAATATAAAATTTAAATATATTTTCAATTTTAGCGTTTCACTTTCTTTTCAGGCGAAAAAGTATAATATAAAGAAATATGATTATGGGCACATGAATACATCATAAGATGATCTATGAATACGTCACAATAATGAAAATGTTGTTGAAGAGTAAAGTGGCCAAGGAAACTTTCAGAAAACTTTGAAGAGTATTAATTAGCTGTTTGGTTGGGGGTTATCCCCATTACTCAAGTAATGTCATCTTATATTACTGACAATACTATGTTTGATTGTCAAATATTATAAGATTTCGGTAATCTTTCAAAACTAATAGTAATTACTGTTGGTTATATAGATGGTATGAATACCATTATTTTCTTAGGTATTTTGAGATTACTTGGAAATCTTATTTTTGTTACAATTTTACCCCTTACTAATAAAATTTTAGGACAGTAATGTCTTTGTTATATAAACAATTTACAAGAATTTTCATGGACAATTTTAGCCTTATACAAAAAAATTTAAGCCATTTATACTCTTGAACTTGAACCACATTACCCATGATAGATGGTCGGATCTAGCCACCACCACCGGCCGCCGACCAATGTCACCAGAATGATGCATGACTAGCTAGATCTCGTCGTTTCTGGCTAGATCCATGACGATCTAGCCATTTTTCCTGAATGGCGCATGACCAGCCAGATCTGACCGGTGACAGTGGCCGATGGTCGGCAATGGCTTGGGTGGATGGGGGTGATTTTGTTAAAATTTAAACTTTTATTAGCTGAGGTGTTTTCGCAAAATCTCAAATGTAGAGAGTTAAAAGAAATAATTCAAATATATTATTATTACTGTAATAACAATTCAATAATCTATATAACATTCTCACCAACTTATTCCTTCCAATCAAACATATCAATATCCATTAATTTATTCCAATCTAATCACACACATTTAATATACCATTTTCAGTAATCTATCTTTCCATTAATATAACATTTCCAATAATACAACATTTCCTGAACCAAACGCATTTAAAATTTTTTTTTTGAACATATAAATGTCCTTAAAATTAAAGTTAAATAAAAAACATTTAAAAATAAAAAATTAACAATATTTTAGATTAGGAATTATTAAACCTTGATTCAAACGACACTGTTGGCTTATATATATTTTTTAAATTATTTATCTTAGTTATTGGTTTGTTTGGGCTTTTCAATATTTTTTATAACTTGTGCCATTTTCAATAAATTTTGAAAAAGTTGTCCTCAAACTAAGAATAGCCATTGACTGCTGTTTCACTGGTGTTGACCAGCATTTGGCTAGTGTGGGTGTTTGGCCGGTGTTTTGACTTTTGTTGACTAGCATTGACTGTTATCTCGTTCAACTTTTGACTTTTTCTTTTAAATTTATTAGTTAAATAATAATTGAAAAATATATTAATTTTTAATAAATGAATTTTTGTTAGAGAAAAAAAAGAAATATTATGCAATCTAATTCATACACCAAATATAATACAGTATAAAAATAATACAATACAATGTTCTACAGAACATTATATAACATTATAAAATACAATGTAATGTTATGCTATATAATTTGCTTAATGTTATGCTCGATCGCTTGCCAAACATGACCTCAAAAGGACATTATATTTGTTTAATTTATGTTCTAACAACATTATAATTAATTCAAATATGCCGAAATAAATTGAAAATTTTCATTAAACCTCTTTCACATAATTTTGTTCTTAAAGTGCACTCATATGGACCTAGAGAGTTGATTATGATTATTATCTTTTTTGCTAACTCAAAGTTCTAATATAATTTTGTTGTTAATCATAAAGTATTACTGATTTCATATAATTTTGTTCTCAACCATAAAATGTATATATTGATCAAATAAATATATTTAATTTACATTTAGTTTTTTGTTAATTGCTTATTTTAAAATATGATTGCCTTTAAAGTAATCATTTATAAAATCAAATAGGTTCTTTGAATTGCATAGATTTATTTCATATATTAATTGTTTTTGGTCATGATGATATGCTTTTGTTGTATTAGTAATTGTGATGCCAAAAGGTGTGAGGATGATAAAGAAGTGGAAGAGTTGAATCCAAGTATAAGTCAACCCATTGGCTTTTTTGATTTTGATTGGGTTGAGGTCTATATCGAAGATGAAGATGAACCGCAACCTAAAAGACTTAAAGAATTCAAATTCTTTCAAAGGGTAAGGAAGTCCAAATCTCTATTCCTAATCCATTTCTATCTAATTAATTTTGCTCTCAATTTCTAGTCTATTTTAGTGTTTAGATTGATTACAATCAAGATGCAACATAAAATAATTATGTAGAAGCTTATTTTATTAGGATGGAGAAGGTGAAGAACACATCTAATTTGAAGAAAAGACATGAAGCAGAGCAAACAATTAGTGAGTAAAACATTGCTATATTAATAGGAAGCTGTAGTTATTTCAAGAAAAATTCTAGTCTAATATAGTTTAGTTAACCATTGTTACTCTTCTTTTACCCATCAATGAAATTCAGTTCTGATTTGTCTCTGTTCTTAGTGTAAATTGACTTGGTATTAGAGCACAAGAGTCAAGATGGCAAAATTTCCCGCATTTTCTATCTTTCTTGACAGTCCAGATAAGACTTCAAGTTCTGGTTTCTAATTTCTGGTTCAAACCCTGAAGCTTTTAATCCTTTCCCTTTGACAACAACAGTTTGTGGTTAGTTAATGAACCACAGAGTTTTACAAAAATATATATGGTTATTTCTTTAATGCCATAATATTGATTTCTTCACGTATACAGGGGAGAATCTGTTGATGATCATGCGGAGCTTATTGAAGTAAGTAGCTTGGAGAAAGTAGTAGTAGAAAGGAAGTTAAATTGCCATTATTCACTTCTGCAAGTGTTTCTGCTGCAACAGATAGTTCCTCATTCACAAATATGCTTGGTGAAAGGGGGTTTTGGACCTGTTTACAAGGTAAGATTTTTATGTCCTTGGGAGCAAGGCTAAAGCTGATTAGTAATTGGTGCCAGAGTTTCAAAGTAAAACTTTATCAAGTCAATGAAGAAAGTAATATTTCAGGGAGCAGTATTGAAAGGGGATCAAATAACTGTGAAAAGGCTCTCAAAAAGATCTGGACAAGGATGGGAGGAATCAACAAATGAAGCAGTTCTCATAGCCAAGCTCCAACACAGGAATCTTGTTAGACTTTTGGGCTGCTTTATCGAACAAGATGAAAGGTACTGATCTATGAGTACATGCCAAAAATAAGAGCTTCGGTATCTTTTTCTTTGATCTGTAAATCTCACAGGTCTAGCTTATTGATTGTACATAATGGGTGTTTTCCTTCTTGGGTTACTTACTCTTGGCTCGTATCTTTTCATTTGCTTATCAGATCTGAGAAGCGTAAGTTGTTAGATTGGATTACACGTGTTCGAATTATTAAAGGGGTTGCTCGAGAACTTTTCTACCTTCATGAATATTCTAGGGATTTAAAAGCTAGTAATATTTTGTTGGATAAAGACATGAATCCTAAAATTTCTGATTTGGAAGGCAAGAAATTTGGAGGGGATGAGTTACAAGCGAACACAAAGAGAATCGTTGGAACTTAATAAGTAAATGATGCAACTAAATTTAAGACTACTATGTGCCACATTAAAATC